CGGGCCTGGTGGGGGCGGCGGGCCGGGCGGCGGGCCTGGCCGCGTGTCCCCAGCGCCGCCGGGCAGCCAGCAGCAGGCCGCGGGCGCGCTGGCGGGTAGCCTGTCGGGGAGCTTGGCGGGGAGCCCGCACCCGGGCCAGGGCCCGGGCCAGGGTCCCATCAAGAGCAAGCCGCCGGCTCTCGTGATCCAGAACTCGCTCGAGAGGCAGCAGCAGATGCTCAACGACATCTACACGCCCCCGAGCTCGGCGCGCTACTCCGCGGGGCCCCACATCACCGTCATCAACCACGACGACGAGGTGGCCGGGCTGGGCGGGCAGGTCCCCGTGCAGTCGCCAGGGCCGGGGCGCCAGAACGCCCACCACCTGCAGCACCCTCCGCCGCTGCGACTGTCGCGCCAGGCGGGGGCGGGCTCCTCCCTGGACTCGGCGTGCGCGCAGCGGGCCGCGGCGCTGGCCCTGGCTGCCGAGTGCGACTTCCACTGCTGCGCGCTGCACGAGGAGGGACGCTTCATCGCCGTCCACAAGAGCGTCGCCACGTCGCCCATCCAGGACGTGGGGTCGCAGACGTCGCCGCAGCCCACATCGTCGATGGCAGGAGGAAGGACAGGTGAGTCATGCCGTTTTTCATTTCCACACCTCCTTCTCCATTCCATACTTAGCGGTAGAGTACTTTTCCCCTATGGCCACCAAGTAGGAGTGGGGCTTTTTTTCGACGGCACTTCATTTGTACGGGAGAAAAAGTACCCCTCGTGCGATTTTATTTTTGCACTAACGTAACGCTGCTCGTGCTCCGCTCTGCCCGCAGGCACGCTGCGCGGCGGCCAACACGTCCGCTTCCTGGACATCGAGGGCCGTGGGGTGTCGCATCCCGAGCACGGCGGCGACTCGTCCGAGTCCGAGACGGACAACACGGGGCTGGAGGAGGAGGCCGTGACCAGCGAAAAGTTCCTCCTCCTCATCGACCAGCTGTCGGTCGACCAGAAGCGCCACCTCAGCATCAAGGACATCGGCATCATCCTGGAGCGGCTCAACTCCAAGATCCTCGACGTGGAGCGGCTGGACCGCGAGAGCGAGAGCGACGACTGCTACAACTGGACCATCAAGGCCACCATCCGGGGTGACGTCTTGCAAGAGCTGGGCGTCATCTACAACGGCAACTATTACGCCATCTCGGAACACCCGGGATATAAAGAGGATGTGGAGGCAGGGTTGCCGGACCCACCAGAGGAGGAGGAAGAGGAGGAGGAGGACAGACTTTGAACCTATTTACTATTTACCCTACTCAAAACTTACTCTGTGAGTGTTGGAGCTCGTCAAGTGAGTGTTGTTGTTGTTACTGTTGTTGTTCATTGTGTTCATTCATCGTCATTCATCATTGTGCTCATCATCATCATCAACTTCGTCATCACATCGCCTACGTTTGGCGCAACCAGCAGCAGCAGCAGCAGCAGCTGTAGGAGCAGGGCGGTGCCGCGGGGCAGTGCTTGGGCGTTTTTGGCACAGTGGTGTGTACAGCATCCGGAAACGGAAGTAGGAGGAAGTGCCGACCGCACCTTCCTCCTCCGGTCCGGAACTAGTGTTGTAATGCTCGGTGGGGATGGATCCGCACTGGGTTTAGGACATCCCGCACGTCGTCGAAATGCATGTTTTTCATGATTCGTCTTGTCAGAAAGTTGCTCCAAAGGCAGCAACGCCGCAACACAATCATGTTAAGTGCTGTGATGTTTAAATGTTAATAAGTTATTGTTGGGACGACGCTGCCCGGATAGTGAGACAAGAAAGTGAGGTTATGGTGACTCTTGACTGCCCCGCTTAGAAGGCATGAATGGTTTATTATTTCAGAAAGGATATGAAAGACTACCATCATGACGACCATCGGGAAGGTGGAGAGAAAAGAAAATTATTGTGAGTCGCGTTTTATTTTTTAGGTTACGAGAAGGTCAAAATAGAGCTGACAGTCTGTATATGAAAATTCTTACAGTAGTGGGAATACTATTGGAAGAATATCAACCTAAAGTTTTACCTGGGAACTAATAATGCCAAGTTAGGTCAATACGTCCCACGCGGCATTTTCATACCCCAGCACAAGTTTGTTTGTTTCACTTAGGAGAACAAAGTGTCCCTAAGAATGATCAATTTTTCACAAACCGTTCTAAATCGGGAACGAAGAATTAGCTTTACTTTGGTACGCAGATTAACCTTACTAGCTGGAAAAAAAGGTCCCAACATTAGTGTGAGGAGGGTTCAAACTTCTTTTTGTTGATTTTTATTAGGGTTATGATATAAGATAGAGAGGGGAGAGGCAAGAGGGACTTTGGAAAATGGGGCACGTTTCTCAGAACCAATTATCCCCATTGCTCAGACAACAGAGTACCTTCACAGAGCAATACTGTCGGAGAGGTGCCGCCCAGCCTTTGGCCCGCGTTGTTACCCAAACGATTCGACGGAAAGGCAGTGATACGATCTCTTTCCGATGAAAAGAGCGCTAAAGCCACGGCGTTCCGACCACCATTTTTTGCCAGGAAGCTGGTGCTGCGCTGCATTGAGAGGGCCGCCTTCTTTTGTTTGTTTTCGGAACAGACCTTGGCCCTCACATGATGCTTGCAGCGTATACCGGGCGGGTCTGGCGGGGTCGAGGTATAGGTGGCGCCAGAGAGGGAGAGAGAGAGAGAGTGTGTGTGCGTGAGAGAGAGAGAGAGAGAGAGAGA